CTTGTGCTTTACAAAGCAAATCCAAACCTTTAGGTCTGAGAAACACGGCGCCTCGTGGGATACAGCCGCTACTGCCTTTCAGAGACGCCCTTCCGAGGGTAACAGCATTCGAAATGCAAACCAACACATTCACATGTTCTTTCAGGGCAAAGCTCTGCAAAATTCCTAAGATAAATCCTGTCCCAAAACACGTTTACTATTAATTCATGGAGCGACACCCAGCCCCAGCAGGAAGTCTCCCAGGAGGGCGGGGGCCACGCGCTAAGCCCCTGACCCACCTGCTGGAGTTAGCGGAGCCCATTGGCTGGTGCTGACCTGCCCTCCACGAGCTCCTGGGCCTCAGTCCTCAGGCCCAGACCGTGGGGGAAGGACCCTCCGCGTGCACAGGGGCTGCCAGGACTCTGGGGTGCTACAGGCCACCTGGGTGCCAGGCAGGGCCTGGGGGCTGCACAGGGAGGTGCCCAGGCCATGTGTGGGTCCCCTGGGTCTAGACCTAGAGCCAGAAGTCATTGCTGGCCCAGAGTCACCAGGGTAAGAGGGGCTGGCCCGGCTCCTATCGCCCCAGGAACTGTCCAGTGAACCCCAGCCCTGGCTGCCCAGGGGGACTGTGTGTGGCCGGAAAGCCTGGCCTGGCCCTGCATGGGGCACCCTGACAGTCGTCCTCTCAGGAGTGGGGAGAGCGGGGCCCTGGGGACCCCAGCGGGAGAAGAGAGCACAGGAGTTTCTCGGGGAGAGCGGCCTTGAGCACAGACGCCTCCCTTCCTGAATGTCGGTTCCGAGGAAGAGACCTGGGCCCGTCAGGCCTCCCTCGGCAGGACCAGGGACAGGTGCTGACCCACTGAGCGCCACCTTCACAGCCTGGTCCCTCCTGGCCTTGCCCGGCAGGCCGCCTCCCAGTCTCCGGGTGGCTCTGAGAACCCAGGTCTCTGAGATCCTCGGGGATGTGCCCCGGGCCCAGAGCTGCTGGACGGCCTGTCTCTAGGGCTCCTGGCCGCAGGGCCCACCTCTAGCGGCTGCCCCTTCCTGAGAGGCTCCTGCCAGCCTGAAGGAGGCCCCAGCGTGGAGAGTCGGGTGCTGGCGTGACTGCGCGCTGGGCGCAAGAGTCTGGGTCTGCAGGGACAGCCAGCCTGGAGGGGCGGGAACGCCTCCTCTGTGGGAACCGTCCTGCCCCGGCACCCAGACAGAACCTGGCGCCTGCCCTGGCGGGGACGCGGAGAGGGAGCTCTGCGGACCCTCCACTGCCCCCCGGTGAGCCACCACCAATTCTCTATGGGTCCAGGGAGGGGAAGAAATGCAACTTCACGTAGTGAGGGCGGAACTCACAGGGCAGGACACCCTGCAAGGCTCTGGGGGGACATCAGATTCCAGAAGGGCCCATCCAGGTACAAGCCCGGGAAGACAGGCCTCCTGTGGTCCTTGGGCGGGTGGCTTCCCTCTCCAGGCCTCAGTTTACCATCTGCAACATGTCCTCACACTACTGAGCCCTAAGTTCTTTGACAAATACTTTAAAAAGTCATAGTTTATGATTCCAGACCAAGGGGCCCCGGCAATCTGTGCGTTGCCGCCGCTGGTGTGTGGCCAGCAAGCCCACGACCCCCCCAGACCGGCTGCGGGAGGGGAGTGTGGGGAGGGGCTGAGCAGTGGCTCAGGTGGACAGCTTCGCCCAGGCGTCTCCAGGTTGCCAGGGGGAGGGGAAAACCACTTCCAGACAAGTGTTCCTTAGTGCCCATGGCAACGGGGTCCTGCACTCCAGTTTCCAGGGAAACCCAGCCCTCAGCGTCTCGGTTGCCAGAGCAACGTCCATGGACTCGGTTGGCCACGCGGTCACCAACTGAACAGGGGCAGCTGGGCACCCAGGCTCGGGAGGAGTCGGGACTGCAGAGCCAGGTGCCACGCAGGTGGGGGCCACACACTGAGGAAGGTCCTGGCCCGGACAGGTTGGAGCAGGAGACTCGCCTGGAGCCAAGCCCTGGCGTCCTCCGGCCCACAATGAGCTCTGCCTCCGGCAACCCCGGCGAAGGGGACGCCCTCCCGCAGTCCCAGCTGGGGCTGGACGCCGTGATCCAGGTCAGTGGGGCGGCTGCCGCCCCGTGCCTCTGACAGCAGGTCCCAAGGGCACTTTGGGAGGGGCACTGCACAGAGGGGAGCGGCCAGGCCACAGCTTGCCAGCTCCCAGGGGTACTTTCTACCTGCTCGTATGTTTAGCAAGAGCGTGCATGCACATACATGCATGCACACACACGGCACATGCACACACATATGCACACACATGCATGCACACTCGTGGGCACATGCACGCACACACATACACAGGGCGCACAC